AAAAAAAAAAAAAGAATTTTTGTTTTAGCTATAATAGCATAAAGTTAGAATTGAATTACAGTAAAGTTAGGGACACAAACCGTACACTTAATTTGATTTTTAGCATTTTCCCCTAGAATTACTTTACTTCGGTGTATAGGTTTGTTTGTCTGTTTGTTTGTTTTGGTTTGGTTTGGTTTTGGTGCCAAGGACTGGACCCAGGCCTCCAGCTTGCTAGGCAAGCAGTCTACAGCTGAGCCAAATCCTCAGCCCCTGGTGTATAGATTTCAATTTTTTAATTTTTAGTTTTTTGTATTTTAGGGAAGAGTCTACAGGGTGTTCAGGGTCTCTCTACTAGATCAGACTCATAGTGATCCACCTGTTTACAGAGCTGGGATTACAGGTGCATACCACCACACCCAGTCTCAATTGCTGTCTCAGTGCGCCCTGGAGGCAGGACCAACATGGCAGGCCTGGGGGTCAAACCTCAGCCCCTGCACTTGCTTGTTGTTCTATTTGGCCAGTCCTAAAAAGTTGAGAAGGATTTTTTTTTTTGGCTGGCTGAGGCTGCCTTAAGGGTGGGTTTGGTATGGCATGTGGAGCAGGGGATTGAACCTTGGTATCCTGCACCTGACTGCATTTGCATAAACAGGTACTTAAACAACTGAGCTAACCAGCAGGCCCCCAGGTTTGAATTTTAAATACAACTTTTTATATTTTTTTTCTTCAGTATCCACTATCAGAGCAGTCTCTTGCTCAGCCCCTAACACCACCCTCCCTCCCCAAGTCCCACACCTGTCCTGCTGCCTGCCCATGATGTGCCTGCCCCAGGTGACCATGCTCCCTCTGCCTTTCAACCATGATACAGTTTATGGCCCTAAATGCACCCTTTTGAGCTGTGGACCTCTGAGCTTTGACCACCGTCACCTCCATAATGAGGAGGAACTCCATTGCCTAGATTGTCCTGGGTGCCCTGGCAGCAGCCACCTAGTGTTCTATTCCACGGGGATGAAATCCTGCCCTCTCAGCTTGATGTTTCCTGTCCCTTCTGCTCAGCACAGTACTTCTCTGTGTGACAGATTCTGAGGCATAAGCACTTGTCCGGCAAGCGCAATGTCCCGCCTGAGTCTTGCTTGTCAGCCCTACATGCCGTATTGATCCCAGATCCCTGGACACACTGTGCCAGCCCCGAACCCAGGTGTGGTGGTGCACGCCGGTCATCCTTGCACATGGGAGGTTGAGACAGGAGGATCCCTTTGAATTTAAGACCAGTCTGGGAGCTACAAAACTGAGCACCAGGCCAGCCCAAACTGCATAGCGAGACCCTGTCTCAGACAAATACAGGCAAGAGAAACATTTGCCTATAAGATCTGTTTGGATGTGTTTCCATACTTTTGGAGAAATGCTTGAGAGTGGGGTTGTGGCCAGATGAGAAGTGTAACTCTGTGAGACCCTGGCTGTACCACTTGCCCACTTTCTGTGACACTCAGTTCTCTCCAGCTCAGATGGGCGGGCAGCTGCTCAGCACTTGGCAGCACTTGTCATCCTTGGCACATAGCATCCTGTCATTTTTACAACTTCTCTGTTTAAAATCTTTTGTTATGAGGATATATAAAGATCTCTCGCTCATTAGTTGGACTGGGGTTCTCATTTTCTTACTACAGCATTTTCAGGGTTCCTCATATGTTCTGAGTGTGATCCTTTGTCATATCTGTGTTGCACAGCCCTTTCTGGGAGGGCTGCTCTTGCACTTCCTCGTTTCCCTGGCGCCCGTCTCTCTCCTCAAGGGCCCATTTCCAGCAGGCACCTCACTTTCTCACCTTGCCTGACAGCAAGCTGGCCTCGTGCTGCCCATGCCTCCTCCTACTGCAGAGACATTTGTGTCTTCCCTTAGTTTTTGAGCTGGGGCCGTGCCTGGCACAGACAACTCAGGGTGCTGCGTCCTCTTCCTGCAGGTTTGGAAAGTTTGATAGGTAGAATTGAGCGTGAGAGTGAGCAGACCTCAGTTAATGTTGAATCAGGTCACAATGTGCTGGGCCACATCGCGCTGGGTGGCTGTGCAGAGCACATTAGAAACAGGTTCTGGGTCGGGGATTTGACCAGGCACAATTGCCCGACGCTGCTTCCTAAGAAATAAGATAGAAATATGACCAGTGCTGCACTATTTATTGGCAGCTTTGAAAATACATCAGCTTCCTGTTACAATACTGAGGTAAATCCCCATTGCAGAACCATGCAGAATGGTTCTACAGACTGCAGAGGCACCACCTCTCTCTCTCCATGTCGCTGTTGACCTGAGCCAAGTGCTCTCATCTGCAAAAACACAAGTTCAT